CGGGCGGGAGGACTGGGTCCCTGGGTCCCTGGGTCCCTGGGTCCCTGCACCCCGGCCGCCCTGCCTGCCTCCTCCTGTGAACGCGGTCCCCTCCTCGCCCTCAGAACTCCACGAGGCCGTCCCCCGCTCCGAGGATAGGGCAGGCCTCAGGCTGCGGCCCAGACGCGGAGCTCCCTTCCTTGTTCGGGTTTCCTAGCGGGGCACCAGTGAGGCGATTGCATGCTGGGACCTGGACTGAGTGGGGCGGGGGACAAGCCAGTATGTGGCTATGCTTGAGGGGGACTCTTCAAGTCAGCGGCCCCCAAAGCTCAGAATTTTAATTCCGAAGTCCCATATGAATCGGATTTTTGCATAACAGTGGTGGTTGGTTATCTTGCCCTAACTCCTGTGATTCCTGTAGAATGACAGCCAAGCAGGACTTTAAAATTCCTTCTGAAACGAGATAGCAAGTGTCCGTTGACTCGTTGCCACTCTTTTCGTGAACTTTCTTAATGTTTTCCAATGCCGCTTGGTCTTAGAACTGTCCAAAGAGCATCACTTTTACATTCCAACACACACCAAGGTGAAAGGAAGTGGGTTCTTTTTGTTTTGACACAAAGAATAGCTGCGTATAATATTTACACTATTGTGTGTTTGTTTTTAAAATAGCTACTACAGTTTCTACAGGAATTCTCACAGCAGACTATGTCTAGGACCCATGAAATCAAGAAACAAGTGGACGGACTAATTCGGGAAACCAAAGCCACAGATTGTCGCCTGCATAATGTCTTCAATGACTTCCTTATGCTATCCAATACCCAATTTATTGAGAATGTGAGTTATTTAGTTACATCATATTTATAAATAATACTTTTTTGGGGAGCAAGAGATATCGTAATTTTAAATGAGCTATTATTGGATTCCTTCCTAAATTTTGGTGGAAGTGTTGGTTCTTGGTAATTGGAGCATCTTTGTCTAGGATTAATGCTTCTGCTTTTTATCAGTAAAGTTTTAAGTTTGTGTTTTTCAAGTCTTCTAAAAAACCTAATGATAAAATTACCTCGTATTACCTCTAGTCTTTCCACCCCTTTTTAGTTTTGAGAGTAGTCAGCAGTTGTGGGTCACTCAAATAAACCTTGTTATGGCACGTTGTGTAAGGACTGCCGTATACCTGGCCTGACACTCGGGGCACCAGCATGTGGCTTCAGTTATTGATTGGGCCCATTATATTCTGATAAATTACATTAAAAGGATGTGTAAGTCTGCTTGGAATATTCTCAACTAAGCTTTTCTTATAATGGCTGAACCTATACTATAAAATCAACTACAGACAGGTAGTTTTGACCCGTGTGTAATTTTGTCTTTATATTGAGTTTCTGCCAGGTGCTAGGAATATGTAGGTAAATTAGATAGAGCCTTTACCTTAGTAAATAACATAATTCCAGACTTGAAAGGAAATAAGTATGGCTGGAGCCAAGTGAGTGAAGGGGAAACTGTTAAGAGATGAGGATGGAGAGGAAGTGTAGTTAAGCTAGTCTGTGTTTTCATAGGGTGTCTAACTTTCTGAATATCAGCATTAATTTGTGAACAGAGGATTATTAAAGTAGGCTATCTCCTGATATTGTAAGATGTGAAGTAATAGAAAAGATTTCCAAAATTGCAAATTATAAAAAGCCCAAGATTTAAGGTTAAGAGAACACCAAATAATGCCATGCGGCAACTTGTGCAGCATGTTTCTGCATTTTTTATTAGCTCAGGTTGAAATGCCACTTCTAGCCTTTTTAGGAGAGCCTTGTGTAAAATAAAGATCTTATTAAAGGTCGTAGAGATCTCTTTGCCTGTTATTTTCTTTAGTGGCAAAAGAACACTGGTAAGTTTGAAATATAACAAGTAGTCAAGTAAAATCAGTAGTCATTTCCTGATCATCTACACAGAACATCCGTGATTGCTTCTGAGCAGTTCTCTCACTGGAAGAGGCAGTGTAGGGGACTCTCTACTTCCCTGGCATACACAGCCCCATCACTTTTTCATCAAGCTGAATTTGGTGTCTTTTAAAATACGCTTGTTGCTCTCGTTCTGTACTTTTCTTGC